ACTTTGTTGCCACAATTTTTTTAAGTAACCATTGGTCAAATTTTTCTCAGTGTACGATGACTTTATTCCAATAATATGACTACTCTCATATTACGACGACTGTTCTTGTAATATGAGTTTATTCTTGTAATATTTTGACTTAGTTCATGTACGACTTTTTCCCGCTTGTAATAATTTTATTCGCTACATTAAAAGTCCCCAATACCCTGTCGCAGAAATCTCACCACTCTAAGGCGGCAGATGCAGTCGTAAATATAAATTCTCTACCACAACAGGCTCAACTTCGCTGATAGGAGCATCTAAACATTCTGCCACTTCAACTGCACTTAAAAGTCCAAACATAACAGCTTTTTTTCCAGCAGCTGAGCAGGAATATCTTTGGGTCAACTGTGAAAACTTCTGGCAACGTGTCACAACTCCGAGTGACTCTGTCACAGCACTTCACAGGCGCGCCGATGAAATATTCATGAAGGCGGCGTTTGAAGGTGAATTTAACAAAGGACGCCAACTCAATGCAGGCCAGCAGATCTCAGAACTCCTCAGCTGAAGGTGTTTCTGCAGAGTATTGGCTAAGAGGGGATGAATACAAATCCATGCTACACTCAGATTTTTATTTGTAGAAAAAAAAAAAAAAAAGCGAAAGGATATGAAAAGCAACCATTGCTTCTTTTCTTTTATATCTCCCGGCTATGCAGTAGTTTGTTTTGGGATTTGTTGGTGTACCGAAGAAAGGAAAAGATTAAGCAAAGCACTGGATCTACAACACAGATTTCACTGCAAAACACACTAAATTTTACCAAGTACTTCTGATTGAGTTTCAAGAGCAGATGTCTTTGAACACTTGAAACAAGACAAAACTTTCACTTAATTAAAGGGATGAACAACAAATCAATAACAGTGATGGGCAGGTGATCAATATCAATAGAGAATACATCTGATAGAACGTTCAACATGTAGAATATTCACTGAACTTCGATCCAGAACCGCTCAGCATTCTGGGGGATGTAGGCAGAGGAGAGACTTCAGTCGCTCAACCTCTTTATGGCCAGCTAAGAAAGTTTCTTATCCGTTTCTCACACAGATCACTGAGGGTCGTGCAGTAACCCTACGCACTTATCAGGAAAAAAACCCATATTGTAAAAATGACTCCAAGTTCATCTAATTCATCTCATCTTATCCAGACATCCCATTACAGCTCTCTGCCATCACATCCAGTCAGAATGCAGCCAACCTGATGATGGGCACACACAAACTACTGCCAAAACAGGTGAAGCGTTCCCATGGCAGCAGGATGATAGTATAACGTTATATGGAGGAAAAACAATCCCTTCCTTAAATTGCGTTAGCCATTTCTGGGGGAATCCCCACCGGAGGAGCAATCCGCTAATTTAGTGACTAGCAGCTTATCGAGTGAGAGGCTAAGCAAACATCTCCGGGCTCCACAGATAAGCAGGACTGGGGAGGATTGTGAAATACAGTAAATATTTTTATCGTAAGCCAGATTTAGGCTGAAGAAAGCAAAATGTGGCATGTTTGTCTTTCACTTAATTCAAGTTTTTTTATGATTTCCCCCCCAGATGGATTTGGAGAACTGTGGACAAAAAAAAGCAAGCATACGGAAAAACAATCGCTGGTTTTAAACAGCTTCGGGGTTTTTTTATGTTTGATCCTATAAAAAAAAAATAATAATAAAAAAATAAATAAAATAAAGTTTTATATTCAAACTCCAAAAAATGAAACCCGATTACAAAAAGATCGACCAAGAAAACAAGACATACTTCCACAAATCAAGAATCGCATTCCTGGATTTTTTTCAGCCATTTTAAATAAAGTTCTAGTCGTCCAGGTACAAAGTATTAACTATGAACCTATTTTAAAAAGATGGTGAGTTTTACTTCCTCCACAAAGTCAAAGTGCCGCAATGAAAGGTGAAAACTGGCTCCAGATCGGAAAATTGGAAGAAGGACAAATACCTGAAACACTAAACCTTTTTTATTTATTCATTTCTTTGGTTTTCATATTTTGCTACAAGCATTAAGTGTATTTTGCTGAGGTTTTACATGACAGATAAAAATCACGAGTTCAATTACTGAACTACTTAAATCAGTGACGTTCAAACTTTTATCCATGAGGTCCAAAGTCATTGAGTTGAAAGCAATTGGGGGCACGTTTTTTTACATATATACATATTTAAAAAGTAAGACCCTAATTCTGCTTTAAACTTGAGTCATTTTTCTCCTATTCAAAACTGTGTACTACTTTATGCTGGTCCTGCACAAGAAAAAAAAAAAAGAAAGAAAAAAACTCATTAACGTTTGTGGCTGTAATGTAAAAAAAAATAAAAAATAGTTCAAAGTCTATCAATGCTTCCGCCAAACGCTGTATGCTGTACGCACACTTTAATAATTAAAGAAAGAAAACTCTCGAAGTCTTCTGAAAGGAGCTAATTGCCTTCTGGCGCCTTGCCAAAGACACTCCCACACATCAACACTAACAAGCTCTCGGTCTCTGTTCTTTGGAGCTTTTAATTAGCAACGGCTATACAGTACGCTCGACACCTCTTGAGGATAAGTCTCTCTTTCCTTGAAGAGAAGACGTCCACATGTGGCTTCAGCTGTCTGAATGAAAAGAATGTTTTATAACATTTTCCTGTACTTGTTTGCCACGTTGACCATCAAAATGTGGTCTCGAGTACTACAACAATAACTAACAATTATTTTAGTAATTGATTAATCTAACGATTGTTGTAGCGATTAATCGATGAGTGGGATTCAAAAATGAAATATTGTACAGATTTTTCATTTAACCGGAAGTAGAAAAGTTGTAAATAATACAATTCTCTTTTTAATTAAGAAAAAAAAATGTTGCCTTTCAGGCATTCCTTTAGTAAATTCAAACCGGGTGAAGCTAAAAATACAACACTGTAGTTTTAGCTTCCCTGAGGATTCTTGTGTAAAACATATTTACAGACAAAGGTGTTTCTTTTTTTATCTTAAATGCAGAATGTATACATTTCTTGTACAGTTTTGGCTTAATTGTTGCTCTGCATGTGTTGTTTTATTCAGCAAACTGCCTTTTTTGAGTCTGAATACTTAATGATTAATCGGTTACTAAATTAGCTGGCGATTATTTCAATAATTCATTAATCACGATTAATTATGATTTACACGATTAAATTAAATTAGTTGACATTATTTCAATACTCAACTAATCATTATTAGTTACAGTTAATCCAATTAATCACGATTAATCCAATTAATCGTTTAAGCTCTAACAAAGAGCATTATTTTATAGCAAACATTTTCCATTTACTATTTTTTTTGTGTATTAACCCTGCATGTGAACAAGGATTTTAATTTGCGAGAAATTAAAATCTGGGTGTGTGAAATATTTACCCCTCCCTCAGACCCGGCCAGCGCCAGCCCCCGCTCAGCCAGCCTGCGAGAGAGAAGCAAAGAAAGTGTTCAGAAACCGACGCAGTCGCATGGAAAGGAGCCAATGCGGGCTCTGGGTTTACCTCCGGAGGGCCTGAGCCTCTTCGCTCGTCACCACGCCGTCAGTGACGGCTCGGCCGCACTTCTGAGGGGTGCAACCTGACAACAGGGAAACATGAGGCAGCGTTTCACAACGCAGCTGCAAAATTAACACACACAAAAATAACATCTAGTGCATGAAAAGGAGTTTTTGTTCTAAGTGTGAGTAAACTGAGTTTTGATTCATTGTTGCAGAAGTTTAAGCAACTTCCTGTTTTGAGGCAGGACTAAAATTAAATCGTGCAGCAAATTACACGTATATCCATAGTTGAATAGATTCAAACATTGCTGCGGCTCGTTTAGAGAACAGGTGTCAAACTCCAGTCCTCAAGGGCCGCTGTCCTGCAACTTTTAGATGTGTCTCTGCTGCACCACACCTGAATAGAATAATTAGGTCATTTGCAAGGCTCTGGAGAACTGATCTACACAAGAAGGAGCCGTTTCATTCCAGTGTTTTGTACCTGTGGCACATCTAAAAACTGCAGGACAGCGGCCCTGGAGGACTGGAGTTTGACACCCCTCATTTAGAGAAATCACTGATCAAACATTCTTGACTTTTCAGTGACATGTTGTCATATACACACTTAGTCTGCAGTGCCACCTTGTGGATCAAAATGTACATTATTGCTGGAAAAAATACAGAGTTCAGAAACTGAAATCTGACAGTAAGTTAGGGGCTCAATCTACATATATTAAAGTCCCTTTAAATAGATGCCAGAGAAGAGTTTGGTTTGGTTACTCTGCTGGTCAACAGGATGGAAAAAACAAAAAAAACTCCAATATTTTTTGATTGCTTACAAGAAAGACAAATTCAGCTGTGGCAACAAATTTACAAAGTCACCATTAATTAATATTAAGTCATATGATACTGAGAAAATCATTCAAGTTGACTTTAGATACGTCTTGTCATCTACAAAACATGCTGTCATGGTCAGTTTTCCAACTTGTTTTGGATTTTAGTTGAAACATTGATCTAGTCTACTAACCTATCGATAAATTCTAACGGACTATGTCACAAAGCTGTATCAGATCCGGTACACAGAATTACGTTGTTTTTTTTTCAGCATTTTGAAGGACGTTTACCTAGAATATTTAATTTAACATGCTGCTGACAGCTGGAGTGAGAGTGGCAATAGTAATTGTGTCATGAGTGAAACTGACACAGGGCAGCAGCCTGTGAGTTTGCTAAGGGATTTAAAGATGCCACACTTGAATTGGCAACCAGTCATTGTACAGCACAGAAAATAGTAAAGTGGAGAACAGCTTAAGCAACTGCTAACGTGCTCAGGTAAAGCTTTAAAAGCAGGTTCCCCACTAAAGCAAACTGTCTTCAAAGACCCTAAAATGTCTTCATGGGACATACAGCAGGTCCTTGCAACTGTGAAGACGATAAAGAATGTATAATAAGAAAGAAACTGCACACTTCGTGGGAAGAGGTTCAAGGTTGGAAAGAGTGGCACACTTAATTCTGGCTAGACTTAAGTGTGCCACAAAGAATGTAGTCAAAGACCAGGGCCCATTTTCTCAAAGGTGTGTGGATGTGCCAGAATTTTCTCCAGCTTAACAGAAGCAAAAGTGAATGATCTAGAGTCAGCATGTAGATTCAGTTATTACACATAGAAATTAGTAAGCAGGCCCAAAATCCAAAATCTGGGTGTAGTGATGGACTCAAGAGATAAACCTTTAAATAGACATAAAGACAGTTACAACGTTGGCCTTCTATCGTCTGAAGAGCATTTCCACAATTAAAGGGATAATGTCCCAGCAATGTCTAGAGAAACTTATCCATGCATTTATCTTTAGTCACGTTGATTAACAGTGTCTAACAGCGTCTTCATAGGTCTACCAAAAAAATTTTAAAAATGGAAAAAATCAATCAACCAATGAGACAGCTGCAGAACCCTGACGATAGATCACATCACCCCAGTTTTAAAGTCCCTACACTGGCTCCCTGTAACTGAGAATAGAAAGAAAGAAATTAGATGGGGGTTTTTTCAGTAGAGCCCAGAGCATCACCTGGGTAGCGCTTGTAGTTTTCGTAGTCCTCTGAGCATTGAACACTGTAGACTCTGGGCTGAGGCGAGATCATTTCCCTCCGACTGGCCAGAGTTTCTGTGATGTCACCGTCCAAGGAAGCCAGGTATAGCCAGGCGGCAACTGTACTAGCACACAGAGCGACCAGGAGCAATGCCAGGAGCCCCCGCGAGCCCCGCCACGAAGACCCCTGCCTCAGGGCATTTCCCCTGGTCAGGACAGACAAAGGTGAGTGAAAATAAGCATAACATAACAACATACACAAAGATTGTAATTGAATTTCTTTAATTTATTAGGTGTCTATGTTGAAAAAGTGAACTCTGGAGGCAGTTAGTAGAACTAGACTGTATTTAGGGGTGTCAAAGAAAAGGGGGATGAACACACCCAACACTTTTTTAGCTTTGTATTTGAAAAGAGTGTTAAAAGAAACATCCAACACTTCACGGTTTTGTACTATTTTGAGTTGGTGTGTGGCATAAAATCCTAATTACAGGCATCTGAGTTTGTGGTTGTGACATTGCAATGTGCACTGTATATTTAACAAACCGGTATAAGATTATACTTAATAAGAGCTTCTGTAACACCGTTTTACTTAAAAGAAGAAAAAAAACCTCGACTCAGGTCGAGCTTTAAAACTTGTTTTACTGGCCGAAGCTGGAATTTTCGCCCCCAATCAGCGTCTCCAGCCTCCTTTAATGGTGAAAATTAGCTTTGTTTCATTAGCTTACCTTTTAATTTTCCTCTCTATCTCTGCTGCATTCGGGCCCTTTGGGTTCCTCAGTCGTAGCAGAGCCATGTCGCCTCAGCTAGCTTTCAACCAACAGCTGTTTGCACACAGCAAACATCCCGCACACCCCGCCAACAGCTCGTACGCCAGGCTGAAGCTCCCCCACTTCCTGCTAACACTTGTGTCGGCCCACCCCATTGGCTCTCCCAGAAGAGACAGCGTAGCTGTCATTGGTCCACGTGCAAAGTAGTTCCGCTGCAGCTGGAGAAAACAAACAGGTTTGATTTTTAAGCTGAAAGCTCTTTTCTTGACTGATTTAGCTCTTTGAACCGCACACGCTCCAATTTTAAACGCTTTGCACGGAGCTCACACTTTATCAGAGTTTTCTCTTAAAGATATATAGGCGCTACCTGACAAGGTAGGTTACACTGACCGGAAGTAGAAAAAGAAACGGACCTTAGAGGGGCTCTGAGTCGATTGGTTAATTCTAGGCCTTCGAAGATGTATGTCTGCATTTCGTTTTAACGCGTTTGCTTCTATATTCTTGTCCTGAAGAAATTCTTTATTACCAATGAGTTTAACTTCTTATTTACATATACTTACACATTGTCATTAATTATGGATATAAATACATAGAAAATGACCCAGGCTTTTGTATGATACCATTTGATTGAACAATTTTTTTTCTAAACTTCATTTCTATTTATTTGGGTTCTGACCCCAAATTGTTATGAAATATAAGGACTCTGTAAGCGATCTCCTGCTAAAGATGTTATTTATTGTAGTCTCGACATATTTCCGTACGGTAGACTATGAGGATATTGTAGAAAATGATTTTTAAAATAGTCAAAGCGAGTATTAAGTCCAGTACGGAAAGCCAGTGACGCCAAAAACATGAACTGTTTCTGGCGTCGTTTACGGCTTTAGGTCTGGTCCCATTTTTTACCTTCGTGTTTATATCTGATCGTTTCTTCCGCTTTGTTCTCATTAACTAATAATTTCCCACCATGCGCATAAACTATTATTTATCAGTTTTCTTTGTAGGTCATTATTTTCATTAATTGTGGACCATAAACAACCATAAAAAAGCTCACAAACCATGTATAACATAAATGAATTGTATTATGTTCAAATAGTACTGTATTTCACTGTGTTTTTGGTTCTGAACCCTGTATGGAACAGTTTCCTGAGTCATAAAACCACACTTCCGTACTTCCATCACTGTCTGTATTAGCTATATTTCATATTTAAAAGAGCTGGTAAGGTATTACCCAAACAGCCAATGTACAAAATGGTAAAAGGGCAAAATAACACATATCCAGTACCCAAAAGTGTGTTCACAAACATATTGCTGCACGTTTATTACAAGTTAAATTTTCACACATAATCAACATGCAAGAAACTCGTCAAAAATACCTGAATGATCACACATTTTTCTGCAGGCAGAATGAATCCACCGTGGCCCAAAGGAAAGAAATTGGTCCACTTGGATTTGAAAGGTGCCCCGCCACGAATTGAATACTTTCACCAGGTGAGCCCTTTCTTTCTTCTGGCATTCACACACCTGCTCAGTGGTTCCTGTTCACTGTGCTTCACCTCCTCAGCTGATCGAGCTCTTCTCTCGGCTGGGTGTGGACGGCCTGCTGGTGGAGTATGAGGACATGTTCCCCTACGAGGGAGAGCTGCAGCTCCTGCAAGCCACAGTGCAGCCCGCTTACAGGTGCAGATCACGGTGTCACTGGATCCACACAACTTTTTTTTTTATCTGCCTTTTCATATTGGTATTTTACTGATAAATAGCAGAAATGTTGAAAATGTCTCCTTCAACCTCACAGTTCGGCTCCTGCCTTAGGGTTTTTCTTAGTCAATTAAAAAAAAGCTTATTGCTGTAGCACGACAAAATATGTAACAGCTTGAGCTAGTAAATTCTTTAAGCTTGGTTTGCTAACCAGTATCTCGTACCTTCATCAGTCGATGTTTTTAGCCGAGAGCAGGTGCTGTCCATTCAGGAATCTGCCAAAGCAAGAGGCATGGAGGTGATCCCACTGGTGCAGACTTTTGGTCACATGGAGGTGTGGTAAAACCCTACAATTTGTCTCTTTAAGTTGTATATTCTGAAGTTGTATGAGCTTTTAATCTCCCTCTCTGTGTAGTTTGTGTTGAAGCACCGGACCCTGTGGCACCTTAGAGAGGTCCCTCACTGCATTGGCACCCTTAATCCCCACAAAGAGGATGGAGTCAAGATGGTGATGGAGATGCTGAGGCAGGTGGTTGAGCTGCATCCCCATCTAAGAACGGTCCACATAGGGGCAGATGAGGTAGGAGTCTTCCTGTGATTGGAGGCTTCAAGCTCTCTGTCTTTGTCTCATACATGTTGCCGTTTTAAATGCTTTAAGGTTTACTCTCTTGGAGAAGGCGAGGACTCCAAGCTCTGGCTGGCTTCAACCGGTCACTCAGTGGAACAGCTTTTCCTCAGTCATGTGACCAAAGTTGCCAAGGCTATTAAAGAGGCGTGGCCTGACATGAATATCATAATGTGGGATGACATGATGAGAGGCATGAGCCAGGACACGTTGAAAGGTGAGGAGGAAACTTAGCGCTTTCCGTCCAAATCAGCCAATCGCCAACATCTCAGATGCTGTAGGCTGTATTTTTCTCTTCAGTCCACTTGATTGGACATGTCTTCATTTAAACCCTTCTTGATTTGATTCCCCCACATGACAGCAAGTGGATTAGTAGGACTAGTGCAGCCCATGTTATGGGACTACACCCCAAACCTGGACGTGGATAAAACTGGTGAGACACTTCTGATGCTCCTCAGAATCATGAATTTGACAAAAGATAAATCCTACAACCACTAAAAATCTGATACCTGATTTTTGTTTAAATTTAATGAAGAAGGAAGTTTAGGTCAGTGTCTTCTTCAGAGGTTTTAATGTTGTTTGAAAAAGCTGTGCCCCCAATCTGTGAAAGTAAGCTACAGCAGCGGAAAATATAACTAATGTTGCCAGTTTGGTTCGCAATCAAACCACGTCTACCGCACTGTCGGGAATGAAAACACCGCAAATGAATGAAAACGTTTTTAATTTAGTTTTCCAGATTATTAAGGTTAACTGAACTGCACCGACACCCCGACTCAAACATTCCCCGACTGTTTTCAGTGTCTTTGCTGGAGAAGTACCACGGTGCTGGTATGTCCGATCTGTGGGCAGCCAGCTCCTTCAAAGGCTCCACTTCCGTTGACACCTGCGTGACCTGCACCCAAAGACACGTGGATAATCACCTGCAGTGGCTGAAGGTGGCTGCTTCTCTGTCTGCTGCCATTAACATGAGGGGCATCGCCATCACAGGCTGGCAGAGGTAAGAATCAGAGGAAGTGGCTTACTTACATTTTCCCAAGAGACAAGCAATGAATTTTTATGTGTCTTTATTGCAATGCTCAGATATAAAATTCTAATAAAATATGTTGGGAGTTGACAAAATGAGAAAAAAAACCCTCAATTTTCTAACTCAGTTTTCCCTTTTTCCCACCAACCAAGGTATGACCACCTGTCTGTACTGTGTGAGCTACTTCCCGTAGCTCTCCCCTCCCTAGCATCCTGCCTACAGACACTTAACCACGGAGAATTCAGCACTGAGGCTCGTAGAAACGTAACAGAGATGCTGGGAGTGTCTTCAGTGGAGATTGAAGCCATGGAGAGGTGAGGTCCAACACCGATTTAGCAAACAACAAGGTCCGACTTGAAGTCAAGAGTTTCTCTGTGTGTCTTTCAGGACTTCCGCTGACGAGTCACTGTTCCCAGGCAGGAGGCTGGCAGAATTAATCGTTGAGATAAATTCACTGCTCAACTCAGAAGAGTTAAGATTTTTTGAAAGCAATATGTAAGTTGTCTTCAGTTTTCGGGGGGAATTTGTTTTATCATTTTGTCAAGAATATTGTTCAAATACGAAAGCCAGGCTTAATTTGTCTCAGAAGTCATATTGTTAAATAACTTCCCACTGCAAACACAGAGGGGCAATAACAGTGTATTTACCTGCATTTTATGCTTTCTGACATTGTAGAAAAAAATTTTGATTAAAAATAATTGTACAATAGTATGTACTACAATTGAAATGACAAGTTACATAGCAACAGCAGTGGAAAAAATGGTTGCTTACTGTAACTTATACAGTAAGAAGCTGCTTACTTTTTCCAATTCCTGCAGCCGCTATTTTGAATTTTGATATTGGCGTTTGTGAGGAAACTCTAATTTTCCAAGTTAGTATTCCAGTTGATTTCTGCTGCATTTAAATTGGAGAATCTCATCTTCCTACTACAAATGTGAGCTGCCACTAGCATTCGGCTAGCTTAGCTTACAATAAACGCAGATTTCAGTTAGACTACAATGTGGTTAATCTGTTTTAAGTACCTCAAATCTACAAACGGTAATAAAAAAAAAAGAGCTTTACTTCTGAACTCCACAAATAACTGTTCCCACCATAAAACAAGAGCAGTCTCCACATCTTGCTGCTAAATAGCCACTAGCCTTAGCTTCAGTATGTGTCGATTAAATGCTTTTCAGTTCAATGAACTTTCCTTTAACATGTTTAGAGCTTGACAATTTCTCTTCTTCTTATTTGTTGTGCTTTTATAGGTTTGTAAGAGGCTGGTTCAGTCCCTACCACAGACAGAGGAAGATGGTGAACCCGTTAAACTCCATCCTCATTCACAGCCAAGCCTCAGGGTAAGCATTTTAAATAGTTGGAACGATAATGAGTGGTTGCTCTGTCCAGTCTAGCTTATAGTTTGGCTTCTTTCTGGTTACGTCTCAGGTATTTGGACACATTACAGAAGATGGTAGAAGCCGTGAGAAAAGAGATGGTAAATCTTTATCCCGACTCTACGGCCGAGGAGTGGATGGAGGAACACGTCAGCCCTGTAACGGCTCCACTGCAGCGGATTATTGATGCCATCCCGGGCTGTGTAAAGGAAATGGTGCCATGAAAGATTCAAGGCTCATTCCAGCTTTAGCACTGGACTATCTGAGATTACAATTTCCTAACATTAAATCTAAGCTAAGCTAAGAGAATGCTAGTGGTAGTTTATGTTTCTGTGCGATTCTGCATCTCCATGTAAGTTGATGTGAGCAGAGGTAAGTGTATCAAAGAAAAGAGGAATGTCAAGTTTTGTTAAGAATTAATAAAAGATGAACAATCGAAAAGCAAACGAATACAACGAAATAAAAATCATTCAACCCTTCTAGAAAACTCATTTCTCGTTCTTTTTTTTTTTTAGACATTACCAATCAGAAATCACTTAACTAAAAAAAAAAAAAAAACATTTGACAAAAAACTTTAGATTACCTGAGATTTAGTCTTTGGTTCGCACAAAAAACGGCTTAAACGTCAATAGGAAGTAACGACAGACTTAATCGTGTCGCCAGGAAGAAGTTCCTCATGCTCAATTATGACTTGCACATGCATTCCTTGGACCCAGGAGGACATGCAAGAAGGTGGATCTGAGCTGGGTGAGTCTAGGAAACCGTGGGAAAAGGCACTTTCCATCGTCTCCCAAACAAATAATTATTATCTCAGCAGGGAGCAACACTAGATCCATAATCTAACTCGTGCTCTTAAACAGTAATTAGTTCAGAACACATAATCTTTGCGGAAACCACCGTGTGTGAAGCATTATTTAGGAAAAAATTTATAAACAAAACAAGAGAATAACGATCAGAATGTGTGGCGAGACTCATTCTCTGCAATGTCTTTGCATTGTCGTGATGGCTCAAGTTAATTCGCCCCATGTTCCATATAGTCTAGCGTTAGTCTGCCTCATTATCCGAGTCCGTGCTGTCGTCCTCTCCGTAGTCTTCGTATTCCTGCTGCTTCCGCTCCGTCTGATCCAGTCCCAGGAAGCGCTTCAACAATGAGGCCACCGCCTCGACGTCACTGCAAGGCAACACAAAGAAGCAGGTCACCAAGGGTTCCTGGAACTTCCTACACAACTTTCATAACCAAATTCAATGGCTTTCTACACTCAATTAGCAGAAGTTGGCATGTATGTACATAACATAAAGGGTTATATTTTTGTATAATATGCTGACGCTGCTCCGTCTTGCAGTTCGGCTCAATGAGATGAACTCTTAAGAGCTTTTCAAGTGTTTATATTTCAAAACAGAACCGCATAAAGTGAATTTCGCATTCCACACCGAACTGATCGGACAGTTTCTCTATACTTTTTCCGCCATCTTTTTTCCTATGCGTCAACTGACGCACAGCGACGCCCTCTTCTGGATGGCGGCCAAACTACAACACTCAAAGAAGCTCCAAGAAGCGGACCTCATCAATTCATCGATTGGAACTAATTTTAATCAAACCAACAGTTAATGGTAAGTCGATTAATTGTTTGCATCCCTATTATTTACAGAGACATATGTTGGATTTTCTTTCATTTCCTACTGATGGCCTACCTACGTCCTCCCATGGTGGCACTCTGGGTGAGGGGGTAGGAGATGCCAGCTGCCAACCTCAGCATCACATGATAACCCTTCCCCAGGTATCGGACCCTCTCCTCATCGACACAAATGTCACAGAGCTGCGTCAGGTCCAGCACGACTGAAAGAGAGAGAGAGAGAGAGAGAACGCACTGAGATCCGGAGCGGTTGTGTGACGGCCTCACACTAACGGAGTCCGCCGTTCCACTCAATCACCGAACACTTAGTGGTTTCACTGACGTCTCTCATGTCCTCTCCTCCACATCGTCAGCACCAGAGTGTACAGGCTGATGGTCTTGAGCTCCACCACTTTCCTGGTCTTGTCGAACACGGCCTCCTCCCAGTCATCCATGTTCTGAAGGGCCACAAACAGGCAGCCTGTGATGTAGAAGAGCTTCCACAGGACGCTGTCTGTGACACACAAAGCAGAGAGCAACGGTGAGCAGTTGTTGCTTTGGGCAAACGTGGGACAAATAAGTTGCGTTTCCATACCTGAGCTGTAGTACGCAGCCGCCAGCCCTGCAGAGGCTATACCTGCAAAGAGAAAGTTTTGGGATTCTGAAGAGAAACTTAAAAGGAAACTCCAAAGTGCTTGTAGGTTTTATGGAAGTCAGGTGGATCACCTGATCAAAAACAAACTTACCAACGAGAAGAGACCATGAGCGGATACCAGGAGATCTCTTGAGGTGGAGCAGAGTGGGACTGTTTGTCTCTACTGTCATGTAGCCCATCTGAACAGAGGCAGGAATGTTAGAGATGATGAGATTTCCTGGTTTAAAACTGTTATCAAATAAAAATAAAGTGTTTTTGTGATCCGGTGTTGTATGTGTGATTAAATTTAATTGCTTTACTAAGCCAGTCCAAGACTCTCTAAGGCAGGGGTGGGCAATCCTGGTCCTCGAGGGCCGGTGTCCTGCAACTCTTAGACGTCTCCCTGGTCCAACACACTTGAATACAACAGCTGAATCACCTCCTTAGTGCAGTCAGGTTCTCCAGAGTCCTGCTAACGACCTCATTGTTTGACTCAGGTGTGCTGAAGTAGAGAAACATATAAAAGTTGCAGGAGACCGGCCCTCGAGGCCTGGTGCCCACCCCTGCCTTAAGGCAACTTTTATGAAAAACATGTTTGTTTTTTACATCTTTAGAAAGTGCAACAGCAGACTTAAAAGACTTCAATTTCTTCATAAACAAAAGGGACGGTGGTGGCGATGTTGGTGGGAGTTTGTCCCGCAATCTTAAATAAAGATCTTCACAGTAGTCTTGTGCACTGATCCACGGTTGCACAAGACCATCAGTGGACAGTTTGCTGCTGCGTCAGCACTTTGCAATGCAGCATCACCACCTTTGGACACCTTCCAGCGTTGAAAAGGAGAACATGCACCATAAATGTGTGGTTGCTGTTATGTGTGAGCATTTGTCTTTAGACTGCAAGGAATTACAGAGGCTCAACTTCCGTCTGGCGTACACATCTAAAATATCTTTGAAAAAAAATTATACTGCAGTTACACTACTAAATACTTCTAAATGTCTGAAATTGTCCAAATCATATGTTGTTTGCTCTGGTTTCCTTTAACAGAAAGTTTTTCATTCATTCTGTTCGCCTTCTCTCAATCTCAAGCATGTTTGAGGTTCGCCTCAAATTAACAACCTTTCATGATCGAAGCACTTGTTACAGATAATCATCTTGCTGGAATTAGCTGCTTCTTAGACAATTTTTCCAACATTTCCACCAACATAAAGCTGAAAGTCTTTTTAAACGACTGTTCAAAGTCTTCAGTTAAATAAAGAATAGCTATAATAACTTACTGTAGTTTTAATAATTATGTTTGACTCTAAGTATTCTAAGCTCGTTTTCCACTTGTTAGGAAAGAGCTCAGTAATGAAGAAGCTGGTGGCTGAGTTGTTCTACTCCAAGCTGAAGAGACTTCCTGTTTCACCACAAATCTGCAACACTCCCCAAATTAAGACGTCTTCAAGCCGAAAGGAAGCTGAGCAATTAATGGGACCGTCTTTCCACGTTCACAGTGACTTCAGACACCTGAAATCCACTCACTATGAAAAAGAGATTTTCTTGGTGTGAGTCAAAGCTTCTTTAGAATACATTTATGAATATATATTATATAATCTGTATGAAGCACAAACTGCTTTGTCATATTTCAACCCACTTAGCAGCAATATTGTCAAGAAGTGACAACATAAACATATCTGCCCTCCTATGCGTTTCTTTTCTGCTGTATGACCTGATCCATAAACTGAAGCTAAAACATGAAGTACATGTTTTCATTATGGATAATCCTGTAAATGAGGCGTAGATCAGCTCTCCATTTCATCAACTCACCCAGCAAGGAGAAACCAATGCAGCCATTTTATATTTTTTGTCATTCCTTACCTTAATTTTTTTTTTTCCTCCGTGAACTTTGGTCCTTGTAAATTTAAAAAGAAATAGCAATTACACGATAAAACGTGCACCACATTACTGAATTACGAGGAAGTTGAATTCATGTTGTCGCAACAACCGTCTTGAATGGGTGACTCTTCCTTCCTGGTTTCGTGAACTCTGATTGGATGCGCTCAGCTGAGATGACTTTCAAAGTAAAATTTGAAAAGATGGCACTGTGCAGCAGTGGTTCCAGATGTCTTCACAAACTCGTGGTGTTGGAATAATTTGTATTTGTCAAATCAAATTATAAACGTTTTGATCGTAGATTATATTTTCGATCATATGGACGGAAAAACGTACTGGTAAAGCACGTGACCCATGTACCCAGTCCTCTTCATGGCCGTCACAGGTTCGAGTCCCTTTGCCTCATGTCTTCACACTTTTTCACAATCCATTTACCTGACGACTTACTGTGGTCAGGTAAAGGCCACTAGAGCCAAAAAAGTAATTAAAAGAAACACATTGGTTTTTCCATTTTGCATTGTCACCATGATGAATTTCTCAGAATTTTCAACTCCTAGGTAGGAAAGTCAACAAGCACTCCTGTGTCAAAGAAGTCAATTTTAATAGTGCAGCAACGTGAAAGACGTGTAAATTTCAGTCTGCCTGCATGCCAGTTCTATAAAATGTTCCATCGTGTTTGAATTCATAAAATGAATAAAATGACAGTAGAGCCGAGATGTTTGTTTGTGCAAATTCAAAAACCCCTCAATTCTCAATTTTTCAGTGCAGGCAGCCACTTGAAAAAGACATGTTAAGGGTTAATCAAAAACAAACTTACAGGTCTTCAAACGAGGCAAAGATGACAAGGAGCGTGATTTTCTCAGCTCTGAATTTGGGAATTTGGACTCTATAAACAGATTGGATGGATTGCTTTTCAGTAGTATTTTTATATGTTGGTTGGTGATAATAAGAGTTCCAAGTGAGTCTGTGATTTGCTTTGGGGGAAAAAACTGAGAACATGAAAAGCAGTGGTGTAACTGGAGTACAGTACACATTGTGCTGTTTTGTCACTATCTTTTATAAAAACGTGCACACATACACACTGGTCCGCAATAAAATCTATATTCTGCCAGGTAAAGATAATGACAGAATATGTAACATTGCAATGTTCTGAAATAATGTCAGATACACTGACACTTGTCTATATGAATAGGTCCTCTGGGGCCTACAAAAACTCTTCATTTTACACAAACATTGACTCAAAAATCACAACAAATGATACATATAAGAGGTTTTCAGCGGATTTTTTGTTTATTTTTATATTTGTTGATAGATAAATATGATTAAACTAGCTTGTTTTACATACAACCAAATAAGGTAAATCAGATTATGTATTTTTAGAATCAGACTTAGGAGAGTGTTTTTAGATTATTTTTCAATATGTCTTATTCTGCACTTTAAGTTTAGACAATACTTCAAACCACAAGATCTACATGAAATCAGTGATTCTTGAAATAAGGGACAAAACGGGTTCAAATTTTCTCAAAGATTAATGTAATTATTCCTCAAGCTTATGTATTCAAATATGATAAATAATGTTTTGGAAATGTAAGGATGCACGCTGCCAGTTGCAACATTCTTTTAAATTAAATTTTTAAAGGACCTGACCCAGAATTTTGTCAACACAAAAATAATTGCTGAGGCTAGTTGTGTCAGTTATTTGAAAAAATATTTATATTTTGTGTATATCTTATTCAAACTCTGTGCTTTATCCAGCAGACATGTTTTGTCCTTCTTCTCAAGAATCACTGTAATATTAATAATACTACTGCTAAGCAGAACTGATCAAGAAATGGTTTTGGCTTTTTATGTAACTTTTTATCACGTTTTGATATTTGTTAATTAAATATTTTTCAAGTTTTTTTTATTTATTAACGTGTTTAAAAATAAAGAAATTGGGTTGGTCGATTTGTCTTCATGTTTCTCATGTACCATTACGTTTTTGAGCAACAAACTAAGAAAACATTCGACTGCTAATTCTCTTTTAATAGTCTCAATATATTTTTGAATTTTCTGCTTCCCGAAACCACCGACTATTTTGAAATCCTCATGTTAGAGCTTCCGGCGCGTGACGCCTGTTGACGCGCGCATGCTCCAAGGACAGGTCCGGGTGCACAATGGAGGTGGATGTACATAAGCACGAACGGCGGGGTAAATATGATATCTAAGAACCACGAAGGTGCGGGTTAGCAGTGGCAGTGACACCGTCCCAACACGGGGTTTTTGGAGACAGAGCGCTGAGTCCCGGCAGAGTTTAACAACTAAACAGTGTCGGTGCTGCAGTCCTTCTTCTTCTTCTTTCCCCCTGCTTGTCCTCTGCGGGTTTCCACGTCTTTGTGCTGAAGCGCAAAGAAGCAGCGCCGTCCGGTGAGTTGTTACCTCAACATTCAGCCTTACAACGTTATTACTAACAAACGTTTCAACACTTTAAAGCTTTTTCTGTGCGGCCTAAATCGTTTTAAACCCCTCCAGCCCACAAGAAACGACGTTTAGTCAATAAACGTGACGCATTATTGTTGTTAAAGCTACTTTAGAGCGTCATTACTTGAGCTAAAGTATATGTACTACTGTTTCAGGTCACACAGGAGGCTTATGTCGCTTTAAGTCATTAACACTGTCACGTAACGCCTCTGTTGTGGTTGTGTATACAATTACCTCGAGTCATTTAAACGTGATGATGATTAATGCTCATTGTGAGTTTTCCCAGCGTTGGAGGGGCTGTTCTGGTTCTGATAAGCTGGCTGTCCGTGATAGGACAGCAGGGAGACGCTGACGGGAGGGTGGGGCTCCCACAGAAAGCACACAGCACCCCGCGAGGAAATGAGCTAATGCTTCTCCTTCCACCTCTGGTCGGTCTCTCCCAGCTCAGAGATAAATGACGCGGGGAAAATGTCAGGAGTCAAGATAGCACAGCGCAAGGAGAAGTGTGAAAACTGCACCAAACAGGTAGGATTGTGGCTAAAATGAAGTTATTTCATGTAATTGCTTTGGACATCGTTTTTATTTTATTTTAATTGTTTGCAAATGCAGTGCAACAAGAAACAAGGTGAAGACGGGGCCAACTCTGGCCCAGAGAGTGAGGAAGTCAATGGACAGGTAGTGACTGCTTATTTAACTCTTCACTGGTTCCTCAAGTTTTCAGTAAAATACTTATTCAGTTTTATACAGTGAAGTGGAAGGAAATTGTGTGAATGGTGTGTCAGCCTGTCACAACCAGTTAATTGCATGATAAATCAAAATGAGCTCCATAGTTTCCATTGTGGTGATTGATTTTTTTTTTATTTTTTTTTTTTGAAAGGCAATTTTGTTTACAGCGACATTATAATCCATTTTACAGTTTTTCAGTTGTGTGTGTGGTTTCTATTTCCTTTTTATGTTTTTGGTTGTTTTATTTTGGACATGTAAAATGTCTTCCAGTTCCAGTGTGACGTGTTCTGTGCAAAATTAAAGTCTATTGGCTTTTTAGAGGGTGTACTTACATTATTACGCTATTATCAGTAATATCGGTTTAAAATTGTGTCAAAGCGACAGTATTATCGTTTATCGCGATAACTTCTGGGATAATTTAGCGTCCAGCAGAATTTGTAATTGTCACAGTCCTACTGGTTCAGAGTGATGGGGAGTTTTAGTTCTTCAACACATTTAAAAAATTTCATTTGCGAAAGATTTTAAAAACGACACAACTTTAGGATTATGCCTAACTTTGAGTGGCTCTATTGTATAAATTATTTAACTATGTTGATATTTGTTGTTTTGACAAGAAGGGAACATTTTTACCAGGCACTGCAGGAGCTTTAGATGTGAAATGAAGTAAATGAATTTGAGCCGTTTCCGTCCCTTTAGTTAATCGAAGGCCCCCGGTTGCTGCTGAGTGCATGTCTCTCCTGTGATGGCTGCCTGTCCGACGAAGAGACCCTGAAGATTTCCCAGCAGAATCTGGAGGAGGTGGAGCGAGTCCTGGCCCTCAACAAGGTGCGTCTCACACACAGGCGCGCGCCGCACAAAAGCTGGAACGAGCAAGCCGAGACAGCTTGTTGTGTTTTTGGCAGAAATGTGACGCATCGAAGCACAAGGTGGTGGTGGCGTCGGTGTGTCCGCAGTCGCTGCCTTTCTTTGCCGTCCAGTTTGGCTTGGACATTAACGAAGCAGCCCACAAGCTCTGCAGTTTCCTCAAGAGTATCGGTGAGCTGATCCGAGACGTCCTGTGGGGTTTTCTTCTTGATTTTTTTTTTCTTTGATATTCAAACTACAGTTTTGTTATACAGTGCAAGCTTATGTTTGATTAAAAGCCTACGTTTGGAAAATGTTATTTACAGTTGGAACTAGTTATTTTCACACACCTAATGAGACGTTTTCTTGGCTCTGTCTGACGATAAATCTGACTAAATTTCCTGTTTTGAGTCGATTAGAATTTCCAAAATAATTTTTATGTGCTAAATGCTAACAGCTTGTAAAGCATGTTTATTATTCCTAATGACTCAATGACTTATTGATCTGTGTATTTAAAATAAAGGTTGGCTTCTATTTTATACGTTATTCGTTTTTGAAATTGGGGTATTTTGAGTTAAATTATTGAACAGCTTTTCAAAATTTTAAATTGTCATATATTGTTCCTGCTGTAGGATGCTGTCACAATGCATTATTAACAGTAATAAATGATTCTCGTAGTGAATTGAAGCTGGATAGCTTTTATCACTGACGTCTGGTGCTGGAAAAGTTTGAAAACTAACTTTGAAAGTGCTTGTATTTTACTGTGGGACAAAGTGTACAAACCTTGTTTATTCGGCATCTTTAGGCAAAAACACTCATGTTTTGTTTTTTTAAATCAATTTAGTAGAAATTTGATCACATGATTGATTTCCTTGTCCCAACTTTTCACTTAATTTTTTTTTTTTTCTTTCTGTAGGGGTAAAGTTTGTGTTTGACACCACTGTAGCAGCCGGATTCAGCATCTTGGAGACCCAGAAGGAGTTTATTCAGCGCTACCGCAGGAGGCACCATGACTCTCAGGCCTTACCCATGTTCACCTCCTCCTGCCCGGGTGAGCTGTCTGCCTGACTTGCTGATTCTCCCCTGCGTTTCTTTTCATAACACAAACTAAATTGGCCTTGT